AAGTTTTAATTTGGTCTCTGTTCCAGTTTGTGTTCATTTGTTTGTATGATGTGAGGTAGGAATCACAGTTGATTTTTTTGCATATGACATAATCAATCCAGCACATTTGTTGGATATGCTATCCTTTCACCACTCAGTTGCTTTTGTTGGAAAATCAGTTGTCTGAGGCCGGGTGTGGTGGCTCACACCTGTAATCCCAGCACTTTGGGAGGCCAAGGTGGGTGGATCATTGAGGTCAGGAGTTCAAGACCAGCCTGGCCAACATGGCGAAACTCTGTCTCTACTAAAAATACAAAAAATTAGCCTGGTATAGGGGTGGGCAACTGCAATCCCAGTTACTCAGAAGGCTGAGGCAGGAGAATTGCTTGAACCCAGGAGGTGGAGGTTGCAGTGAGTCAAGATCATACCACTGCGCTCTAGCCTGGGCAACAGAGCAAGAGTTCGTCTCAAAATAAATAAATAAATGAGAAAATCGTTGTCTGTATAGGTGTGGATCTATTTCTGGATTCTTCCTGGCATTCCATTATCTATTCACTATTGTTGCACTAATACCACAAATGGTTTTGATTACTCTAGCTTTACGATAAGCCTTGAGGTCAAGTAATATTATTCCCCCAAATTCAATTCTCTCAAAGTTGTTTTGGTTATTCTAGTTTCTTTGCATTTCCATATAAATAATAGAATCAGTTTGTCAATTTCTAACCCCACCATCCACCACCTCCCCACCCCCTGCCAAAAAAAGCCTGCTGGAATTTTGATGGAACTTGTTTTTAGCTGGAATAGATCAATTTGGGGAGGATTAAGCCAATCTTGCATTCCTGAGATAAACCCTACTTGGTTAAGATATATTATTGTCCTTATATTATTGGAGTCTGCTTGCTAAAATATAGTTACTAATTTTTGTATCTCTGTTCATGAGTGATATTGGGTTGTAGTTTTCTTGTAATGTCTTTAGTGCCATTTTGGTATCAGAGTAATTCTGGCTTCATAGAATGAATTGAGAAGGGTTCCTTCCTCTTTAATTTTCTGGTAGAATTTGTGTTAAATGAGTATTATGTCTTCTTTAAACGTTTGGTAGAATTTACCAGTGAAGCCATATGGGCCTGAAGCTTTCTTCCCTTCTGGGAAGGTTTTTAAATTATAAATTCAATTTCTTTAACTGACTTAAGACTATTCAGGTTATCTATTTATTTTTTGTTTGTTTTTTTGCCCGGCTAATTTTTGTATTTTTTAGTAGAGACAGGGTTTCATCATGTTGGCCAGGCTGGTCTCGAACTCCTGACCTCAAGTGATCCCCAAAGTGCTGTGATTACAGGCACGAGCTACTGCACCCAGCCCAGGTTATCTACTTCTTACTGAGTAAGCTTTGGTCCTCTGTGTTTTTCAAGGAGTTTGTCCATTTCATCTAGATTGTCAAATTTATTGGCATTCCAGTGTTCATAACATCCGCTTACTATCCTGTCCCCTGGCTGTATTCTACTGGGCAGAAGCCAGTTAGCTTTGTCCAGGCCCAGAACCTATTTCTCCACTCACACCAAGTACAAAGACCACCAGATCATCTTGTTTTACTCCAGAGCTCAGCAAATGTATTTGGGTGGCCCTGGGCTCACTCAGCCAACACTCTGGTGGTGACTTCTTCACTGATTTGCTCTCATACCACTCACTGGGTTACTATGAGACCTGGACATTCCCTTCTGTGGACTACAGGAAAGGCTGTGGGAACAGACGTCCAGCAGGGTATGTGACCCAGGAGGGAGGCATCCTCATTCGGGAGAGGAATCACATGGACTCCTGGAATTCCTGGATGAAGACACCTAGGGTGCCTCAGCCACAGGACCTGCTGGGGACTCAGTCATTGGTGCAGGGCTCTGTACAGATCCAGACAGAGAACGGGCCCAGTGGAGACTCTGGAATGATCATGCAGGGGACGCAGCTGTCAGATCCATTTCTAACAGCAGCCATGAAGATGAACCCTGACCTTTGTGAAATGCTTCATACTTACCAAGCATTTCCACCTGGTTTATGTGAGGCAAAGATTATTGGCCTCAATGAGAAATGTGCAAAGTGAAATTAAAAGACCTTAAGTAACTTAGGGACTGAATGGGTGAAAAATGTGAGACCCAAAGAAAGATATTGAGATGGTTTCAACTATCTCTGCAAATTCTTTTGACACACTCCTCTATTCAAAAGAGGCCAGGTGTAGGGGCTCACTCCTGTAATCTTCAGTGCTTTGGGAGGCTGAGGTGGGAGGATCGCTTGAGCCCAGAGGGTCGAGGCTGCCGTGAGCCATGACTGTCACTGCACTCCAGCCTGGACAACAGAGTGAGACCCTGTCTCTAAAAGGGGTGGTCTAGGCTGGTCGTGGTGGCTCATGCCTGTAATCCCAGCACTTTGGGAGGCCAAGGTGGATGGATCACCTGAGGTTGGGAGTTCAAAACCAGCCTGGCCAACATGGTGAAACCCCATCTCTACTAAAAATAGAAAAACTAGCTGGGCATGGTGGTGCACACCTGTAATCCCAGCTACTTGGGAGGCTGAGGCAACTGAATCACTTGAATCTGGGAGGTAGAGGTTGCAGTGAGCCGAGATTGTGCCACTGTACTGCAGCCTGGGCAACAGAGCAAGACTCTGTCTCAAAATAAATAAATAAAAATAAAACAAAAGGGGTGGTCTAATTCTCATCACAGCCATCCCCCCTGCCACTATTGTGGGCTGGAGTGACCAACTAGCATCTAGCAAACAGCGTGTGACTTTCTTGGTGTGTGCGTGACTCTGTCTCCCCTGTCCCGTCACCCCCAGGAATGCAGCTCCCCAGGTGTGAGGAGCCCAGGCTGAGTGTCAGTTTCGCTGCCCTCCAGCACCAGCGATCAGAAGCAGAAGGAGCCTCTAGACAGCTCTGCTCCTGGGCTTCCGAGTCTTCCAGCTGAAGCCCCAGATGTCAAAGGGCAGAGACAAGCCATTCCCACGGAGTCCTATCTGAATTCCTGACCCACAGGAACCAGGAGACACAACAGTTGTCATGTTTTAAGCCACTAAGTTTGGAGGCTACAGGGCAACAGCTAGACCTATAATATGCAAAGTGACAAGCCCGCCAACGGGAAAAGACGCACAGTGATTCCAGAGCCCAGAGGTGAGAGGACCTCCCACTGGACAGGACAGGAGACGTTCTTAAGGCTCATTCGAGCTGGGGTTTGAAGGCAGGGTAGGGCTGTGATTGTTTGGAGGAAAGGCATATGAAAGCACCCCAGGGAGAAAGGCACAGAGGATTGAAAGTACTTGGGGTGGTGGCGGGAAACCCACGTTATGACAATGGGGTTCCAGCCTTATCATCTCAAGTGACGTAGTCAGCCTAGGATTCCAGCAGAGAGTGACATGGTCAGGCCAGAAGGCAAGTGCTTTTTTATTTTTATTATTATTATTTTTTGAGACAGGGTCTCACTCTGTCACCCAGGCTGGAATGCAGTGGCATTATCATGGCTCACTGCAACCTCTGCCTCTCGGGCTCAAGCAATTCTCCTGCCTCAGCCTCCCCGAGCAGCTGGGACTATAGGTGCACATGACCGCGCTGGTCAATTTTTGTATTTTCAGTAGAGACAGGTTTTCACTGTGTTGCCCAGGCTGGTCTCGAACTCCTGAGCCCCGGTGACCCACCCACTTCGGCCTCCCAAAGCACTGGGTTTACAGGTGTGAGCCACCGCACCCAGCCCTGCAGCTTGTTTTCAAGGAAGATATCATCTGCCCCGTCGGAGGGAGAGGAGGAGAGAGAGTGGACTGGGAATGGTCTCACTCCCTTGCCTGCGGCCCCCGTTGTGGGGGAAAGAAAGACAGATCAGACTGTTACTGTGTCTATGTAGAAAAAAGAAGACATAAGAAACTCCATTTTGTTCTGTACTGAGAAAAATTATTCTGCCTTGAGATGCTGTTAATCTGTAACCCTAGCCCCAACCCTGTGCTCGCAGAGACATGTGCTGTGTTGACTCAAGGTTTAAAGGATTTAGGGCTGCGCAGGACGTGCTTTGTTAAAAATGTGTTTGCAGGCAGTATGCTTGGTAAAAGTCATCACCATTCTCCAGTCTTGAGTACCCAGGGACACAATGCACTGTGGAAGGCCGCCGGGACCTCTGCCCAAGAAAACCTGGGTGTTGTCCAAGGTTTCTCCCCACTGAGACAGCCTGAGATATGGCCTCGTGGGAAGGGAAAGACCTGACCATCCCCCAACCGGACACGTGTAAAGGGTCTGTGCTGAGGAGGATTAGTGAAAGAGGAAGGCCTCTTTGTAATTGAGATAAGAGGAAGGCATTTGTCTCCTGCTCGTCCCTGGGAATGGAATGTCTTGGTGTAAAACCCGATCGTACATTCTATTTACTGAGATAGGAGAAAACCGCCTTATGGCTGGACATGGAGACGTGCTGGCGGCAATACTGCTCTTTACTGCACTGAGATGTTGGTGTGAAGTCAAACATCAATCTGGCCGATGCGCACATCGAGGCACAGCACCTTTCCTTAAACTTATTTATGACACAGAGCCCTTCGTTCACGTTTTCCTGCTGACCCTCTCCCCACCATTACCCTATAGTCCTGCCACATCTCCCTCACCAAGATAGTAGAGATAGTAATCAGTAAATACTAGAGAACTCAGAGACCAGTGCCTGCGGGTCCTCCGTATGCTGAGCGCCAGTCCCCTGGGCCCATTGTTCTTTCTCTATACTTTATCTCTGTGTCTTGTTTCTTTTCTCAGTCTCTTATCCCACCTGACAAGAAATACCCTGCAGGTGTGGAGGGGCTGGCCCCCTTAACCCTGTGATCGACAGGACAGAGCTAGGCACACGGGCTGGGATTCACGGTGCAACCTGCAACCACAGGGTGGAGAAAGGAAGCCACGTCGCCAGGAAGGCAATAGCGTTCAGAGCCTTGGACTCCCTAATCGACGCCACGATGGCAGTTTGGGTCTCCACAGCAATTGGGGAACTTGAAAAGTTTTACTTTAAAAAAGTGCCTCTATACATCATTTAAATTTCAGTGCCAATGTAGAATTGGAAAATCAAGTCTTAACCAATCAAAATTCACATACCTGCCCCTTCCCCCAGGTCATTCGTCAGCGGTTAGCCTTGGAACTTCTCAGCTAAATGTGCATGATTGCGGGTATTTAATAATATCCATAATTAAATTAAATGGGGGCAACAACAAAAGCCTCAGTGCTACTATCCTCCCCAGAGCCTGGGGCTAGGAGGTCCATTCTCATAGAAGGAAGCCTGAAATATGGGCTCCCGTCCGTCAGTCATGCAGGGCCACTAAAAGAGAGTTTCCTTGGCAGGAGAGAGTGTGGGAGGCCCAGCATCAATGGTTTCTTCTTTCTTCTCCTCTGGAAGCTTCACCCTGTTTCTCTTGGCAAAAATGCGGTTTATCTCCACAAATGTTTTGCCCTTGGTCTCAGGAATAACCATGTAGATGTAAACCGCAGTGAGGAGGCAGATTCCGGCAAATATGATGAAACTGTAGGCACCGATGGCCTCCTAGACCAGGAGACGAGAAAGAGAGGAGGGGGCAGAGAAAGACAGGGCTGATCCAGCCGGGCACGGTGGCTCACGCCTGTAATCCCAGCACTTTGGGAGGCCAAGGCAGGTGGATTACCTGAGGTCAGGACTTTGAGACCAACCTGGCCAACATGATGAAACCCTATCTCTATTAAAAATACAAAAATCAGCTGGGCCTGGTGGTATATACCTGTAGTCCCAGCTACTCGGGAGGCTGAGGCAGGAGAATCGCTTGAACCCAGGAGGTAGAGGTTGCTGTGAGCCAAGATTACGCTATTGCACTTCAGCCTGGGCGACAGAGCGTGACTCTGTTCCCAAAAAACAAAACCAAAAACCCTCAAACAAACAATGACAAATAACCAGTGCTGGTCGAGGCCTTTGTGAGTCCATAAAGGAGTTGCTTGGTGGCCAGTTTTGTTTCGCTCCTGGAGGAATGATATTGCTAGAAAATTGTGATAACTAAAGATTGTTTGCAGAAAAAAAAAAAATCTAGAAAATTGGATCCCCCTCACCCTATTATCAAAAAGAAGCTGGTCAGGTGCCATGGCTCACACCCATAATCCCAGTGCTTTGGAAGTTTGAGACCAGCCTGGGCAATATAGCAATACCCCATCCCTAAAAAAAAATTAAAACAATAGCCATGTGTGGTAGCCCATGCCTGTGGTCCCAGCGACTTGGGAGGCTGAGGTGAGAGGATCACTTAAGCCTGGGAGTCGAGGCTGCTGTGAGCTGCGTTTGCACCACTGCATTCCAGCCTGGGTGACAGAGCAAGGCCCTGTCTAAAAAAAAAAAAAAAAAAAAAAAAGACTGCTTAACCTTTTGACAATAGGAGTTTAAGGCCTCTGTGCCCTGAAGGTGCTGAGAGCGCAGAGTTTGTGGCCCAGCTTGTCTTTGGAAGGAGGAAGGAGGCGGTGGGGGATGTGCTCCCTGGCTCTGGCTTTGTTTGCTTTCTGCTACCTTTGAGCTCCGCGGACCAGAGCCCCTAAGCAACAGCCCTTTACAATTTCAGTGGGGGATCACCCTTCAGTAACTGGGAAACTCGTGTCTTCAAGCGTTTGGAGGCAGTGGGGCCACGTGTGTCTGTGGACCCTTGGATGTGTCTGAGAGCCCGTCCCCACCTTGCTGGATTCCAGATGTGCTTAGCGGAAGGGGAATACAGCTTACTCCCTGGAGGCCGGGTGGAGCGGACTGGGGAAGGGGCCCTCGCTCACCTGGATGGACGGGAACAGGAAGCCCACGATGAAGTTGGTGAGCCAGTGCACCGCCCCGTCCACCATGAACGCTGCCCGCCGGGAGGACTGCAGGAAGATCTCGGTCCTCACCACCGAGGGGACAGGACCTGGAGGTCGGAACAGGTTGGGTGGGGCGGAGAAGGACCCAGGGGTCCCCCAGGGCCGGCGGGGCGCGGCCCACTCTGGCCTCAGACCTAGGTCCCTTAAGAGCCCCAGCTGGGATTGCGGACTGGAAAAGAACTCTGCCTTTACCCACAAAACCAGGGTGTGATCCGGGCAGGAGCTGGAAAGGTCCACTTTGCAAAGGCTGGTTGGAGAGCCTAGAATTGAATTTCCATTGCTGCTGCTTCAAGGCCAATGACCTCCATGAAGGTTTGCAGAAAGTTAATGGATGGGAAGCTTCGTGGGAGCAGCGGGAGTGAGGCGGCTCCAGCTCACAGACAGAGCTTTCTCAAAGAGCTTCCTCTGCGCCGGCGTCACTGTGGCTTCAGACGGCCCGCGCTTGGGAAGTGCCGCCCTCCTATGGCGGATCTGGGTATGGCAGTGCCTGCGGCCTACACCTTTTCTTGGGCAACTGTTTTTCATTATCGCCTCCTTAAAAAGCCTTGTCTAGGCCGGGCGCAGTGACTCACTCCTGTAATCCCAGCACTTTGGGAGGCAGAGGCGGGCGGATCACGAGGTCAGGAGATCGAGACCATCCTGGATAACACGGTGACACCCCGTCTCTACCAAAAAAAAAAAAAAAAAAAAACCTAGCCGGGCGTAGTGGCGGGCGCCTGTAGTCCCAGCTACTGGGGAGGCTGAGGCAGGAGAATAGCTTGAACCCGGGAGGTGGAGCTTGCAGTGAGCCGAGATGGCGCCACTGCACTCCAGCCTGGGCGACAGAGTGAGACTCCGTCTCAAAAAAAAAACAAAAAAAGAAGCTTTGTCTAGAATGTCTAAAGCCATTTTTGTTCCCTAATTGCCACTCCCATGACATTTTAATACTGTGTGTCTGTTTAGGTCCTGCATATATACATATCTGTAGCTTTACGCAAAGAAAGAGGAAGATTCTGTCCCTCCTCTTCCAAGCTTCCCACCCACGGTTAGGTGGTGAAATGGCCTCATTGAAAAGGCCAGGTCTCACAGATCACTTGAGGTCAGGAGTTTGAAACCAGCCTGACCAACATGGTGAAATCCTGTCTCTACCAAAAATACAAAAATTAGTACAGCGTGGTGGCGTGCGCCTGTAGTCCCAGCTACTCAGAAGGCTGAGGCAGGAAAATCCCTTGAACCCGGGAGATGGAGGTTGTGCTCCAGCCAGGGCAACAGAGTGAGACTCCGACTCTAAAGAAAAAAAAGAAAAGAAAAGAGAAGAAAAGAAAGAAAAGAAAAGGCCTGATCTCCCTGGATGGCCATGGAGAAGAATTCAAAGCCCCTGAATGAAGCTGGGAAATCAAAAGCAAACTCCTGCAGCCCAGTGAGGTGGGGCCCGGGCCCCTTCTCCAGGGCCCTGCCCCCAAGGGATGCCATCTGTCCTGCCTCCCTCCTGTCCACCACAACAGCAGCAGCCAATAGTCCTTAGGCCTAAGTTGAATGTCAGATCAGCCCATGCTCTGACCTCGTATCTGCTGGCACACCTGATCACCCCTGTTCTTGGAGAAGAATCATGGCTTGCTCCAGGTGACACACAGGCAGTGGGGGCAGAATGGCTTGGAACCCGGCCAGGTCTCCTACACACACTAGCGCTTTTCCTTCGAGGTTCTGCTGCCTCCACGTTTGAGGTACACTGGGAAGGCATCTTGCTCTAAATCCCACCCCCGCAACACTTTTTTTTTAGACGGAGTCTTGCTCTCTTGCCCAACCTGGAGTGCAGTGGTGGATCTCAGCTCACTGCAAACTCTGCCTTCTGGGTTCAAGTGATTCTCCTGCCTCAGGCTGGGACTACAGGCGCCCGCCACCACACCTGGCTAATTTTTGCATTTTTAGTAGAAACAGAGTTTCACCTTGTTGGCCAGGCTGCTCTCGAACTTCTGACCTTAAGTGATCCGCCTGCCTCTACCTCTCAAAATGTTGGGATTACAGGCATGAGCCACCGTGCCAGGCCTAAATCCCACTTCTTAAATACCCTTAAATATAACTATGTGGTCTCGTTCATGTGCCTGACACAGCACAGTGTAAAGAGGTATTCCGCCAATGGGTGTTGAATGAATTAATACCTTCATTTTGGTTTATGGACAGTGCCTTCAAAATGAACATTCTTCAGGGAATGTTATTAGAGTCTTCACAGTCAGGGGTGTCTCTTCCCAGGCAGGGAGAAGGAGGTTCAAGTCTCAGGACACACTGGGGAAGGAGTCTGGAGTCTCAGAGGCTGCCCAAGAGGTGGGCCCAGGTGGAAGCCCGAAGCCACTGGCAACAGGACATTGGGGACAGTGTAATAAGGGACTGTAGCTGGCGGTCAGCAGGGACAGAAGGCAGTTGAGGCTTGGGTGTGCTGTGGGCTTGGAGGCTAAAGTGAGTGTCTGGAGGGTATGGATGTAAACGGAGGTGCCCCAGGGGGGGTCTGGACGGCACAAGCTCCCTCTCTGCAAAAGCTCATCTCCTTGTTGGGTGCCAAACCTGAGTCTGGGCGCCCCTGGGAGCCACAGATGATCAGTGGGGCACTGGCCTGGCTGACGCTGGTTGAATGAATGAACATGGCCTGGAGTGCCATCAAGGCTTAGAGCTAAGAACGGGTGGGATCTGCATGAGCACGTGCATTCACTCAGCAAATATGTGTCGAGCACCGACTGCGTGCCAGGCCCAGGAATGGACCAGGATGGCCGGGGCGAGGGCAGCATGCAGGTACTCACTGGGCCCAATGGAATGTCCCGCGATGTAGGCAAAGACACAGATGATGCCGAGATAGGACAGCTCGGAGAGCTTGTTCTGTGGGGAGAGGTAGGGTTGTCTGGGCTGAGGCCAGGAGCCCCACGTGCGGAGGGGTCCACCTGCAGGTCCCACCTTCCTGCCCCAGGGAAGAGCCGCACCTAGATGTCTGGGCACCTACATGGACCTCAAGGGCTCTGTGGGCAAGAGAGGAAGGCCAGTGAGAACCAGGCCTTCTTGCCTCCCAGAGGGCTCCCTCCAGCCTCACCTGATGAGCGTCATGGAGAACGAGGGACACCTACCTTTGAGTTATTTTCCTGCCAGGTGCTATTCTCTGCACTTTACAAATCACAAATATTAACTCATCTCATCTTTGTGATACTCCTCTGCCCTCTGAGTGACTCTATGATTATTTCTTATTTCTTCTTTTTGAGACAGACTCTCACTCTGTCGCCCAGGCTGAAGTGCAGTGGCGCAATCTTGGGTCACTGCAGCCTCAGCCTCCTGTGGCTGGGACTAGAGGCATGCACCACTACGCCCGGCCTATATGATTGCTTCAATCCCACAATCATGGAACCAGAGCACAGAGGGCTCTGAACACAGACTATGAGGAACCTTAGTCCCTCAGGGATCAAGCAACGGCTGAAGTCACCCAGTCAACATAAGTGAGCTGAGGTCCGGACTTTCTCTACCACTCTCTGGAGACTCCTAGGACCCCCGGACCAGTGGAGCCGGCAGATCACCATCTCTGCTCCCAACTGCTGGGAGAACAGCCAATGCAAAACCAGGTCAACGGACTTCAGCCAAACCAACCAGGCGCCCCCAGATGAACTTCCCAGGGAACCCTATAGTCACAGTTATGAGACAGCCTCAAGGGACAAGCTGGCAACAGAGCTGGATGGTGAGGTGAGAGAGGAGGCCCTGGGAGCTTCCAAGCAGAGAAGCAACACGATCTGATTCATTTTCAACAGAAAGAGAAGGCGGGTGGGTTGGGGGCCATTCAACACATCAAACAAAAGCGAGGCTGGCTGGGTTGGTGGGGCCACCCTGGACCCAGTGTGAAGCCGGCAGCTGCTGGTGCATTTTCAGGCAGAGCCCCTGGTCGGACAGGAGTGAAAGAGCCACTGGGGATGTCCCTAGGTTTCGGAAATGTCACTGATGGTGGTCTCTGCAGGTGGCGCTCAGTCGTGATCACCTCTTTTCACTTCCTAGAATCCCTATCTACTAAGAACTTATATATATATATATATATTTTTTTTTTTTAGATAGAGTCTCGCTCTGTCACCCAGGCTGGAGCAGTGCTGCGATCTCGGCTCATTGCAACTTCTGCCTCCCAGGTTCAAGTGATTCTCCTGCCTCAGCTTCCCGAGTAGCTGGGATTACAGGCACACGCCACCACACCTGACTAATTTTTGTATTTTTAATAGAGACGGAGTTTCACCATGTGGCCAGGCTGCTCTCGAACTCCTGACCTTAGGTGATCCACTTGCTTTGGCCTCCCGAAGTGCTGGGATTACAGGTGTGAGCCACCGTGTCTGGCTGAGAACTTACACTGGTTTTAAAATTAGAGAAGGAAGTTCTTTCCAAGGGAAACTTTAATTAAATTGATTTATGAGCGTCACTAACACTGTTCCTCTCCAGGCCTTGCTTTCCTCGCAGGCCCTGGCCTCCTGGTGATTCCCTGAATCCTCCCAGTTCTTTGCTGCATGAAGCTCTCTGCACTCCCTGGTGGTTAAGGACAAAGTCATTGCAGAGAGGGCAGCTTGGAAAAGAAGGAAAAGAGCAAAGATTTTGTCTCTAAATGACAGAATGAGCTCCTCACACATTCTTGTACTCATGTGCAATTGCATTGCTGATATATTTTCCATTTGAAAGGGTTCAGGGCAATGCTGCAGTTCCTGCACAAGCAACAAGAGCAGAGAGGCTGCCTCAGAGACACGGAATGCTGATTGCTTTTTAAAGATTTTGTATCATGCCACACCATGTATTTTCCTCACTTCCGTAGAACGTGGCTAATACATACAGGCTGGGAACACTGCAAATTAAAATGATGTACTTCTTGTTTGGGTGGTCTGCTGTGTTTTAGTCTTACTGAAATATGATTCCCAGTTTTTTGGGTTTTTTTGTTTGTTTCTTTGTTTTTGAGACAAGGTCTCACTGTCCCAGGCTGGAGTACAATGCTGTGATCATGGCTCACTGCAGCCTTGACCTCCCAGGCTCAGGTGATCCTCCCACCTCAGCTTCCTGAGTAGCTGGGACTACAGGTGCACACCACCACACCCAGATAACGTTTTGTATTTTTCATAGAGATGGAGTCTCACCGTGTTGCTCAGACTGGTCTTGAACCCTTGGGCTCAATGGATCCTCCTGCCTTGGCCTCCCAAAGTGCTAGGATTGCAGGAGTGAGCCACTGTGCTCAGCCTCCTTCTACCTCTTGAATGGGATGACTTCTGGTCTTACCTCTCCTCAATTCACACCTGTTCACTGCCCACAGATGTTTTCTAATGCAATTGAACCCTTGCATGTATGCATTGAAGCACGTACTTTATTGCACACTGTCCTCCTTGTTTCTCTTTCCCATGACAGCTGGACCATCTATCTAGTTACTTATTTGCATGTGCAGGTGTAGGTGAGTGAAGCCACCTGTGACATTCACTTCAGGATGGGGCATTGCAAAGTACGTTTCCAGGCAGGACGCACGCCATCAGTGGGACTCAGAACCAACCACTTGGTGCAGCGGGCGCAGTTCAGTCAGGGGATCTCCCACCCCCGCCATGACTCCCCACCCAGGGGGCAGGAAATGAGGTCAGACCTGGAATAGGAGCACCACCGTCAGCACCAGGCAGGCAGAGCCGCAGATACCGTAGCCGGCCAGCAGGAGGCGCCGCCGTCCCAGTCGCTCCACCAGGACAGCCTGGAGGGGAAGGGGGGCGGTGAGGAGCTACGTTGGCCTGGCGCCCAGGATTCTTGGGCAGAGCCTCCACTTCCTCTTGCAGGCCCCTCTTAGGTGACCCTTTCTTTTTTCTTTCTTTCTTTTTTTTTAAACGGAGTTTTGCGCTTGCTGCCCAGGCTGGAGTGCAAGCAACAGCACGATCTTGGCTCACTGCAACCTTCGCCTCCAGGGTTCAAGTGATTCTCCTGCCTCAGCCTCCCAAGTGGCTGGGATTACAGGCAACTGCCACCACGCCCAGCTAATTTTTGTATTTTTCGTAGAGACGAGAGTTCACCATTTTGGCCAGGCTGGTCTCGAACTCCTGACCTCAAGTGATCCTCCCGCCTCAGCCTCCCAAAGTGCTGGGATTACAGGAGTGAGCCACCTCGCCCCACCTTTTAGGTGTCCCTTTCTTACCCCTGCTGCCTGCATGTGGGATGGAGGCTGCTCATTTGACACGGGTCAGACATTCATGCTCTTCACCGCCACCCTTCCTTGTTCTGGTCATTTCCAGATCTCCTGGATCTTGACTCCCTGCACCTCTGCCACCCACTGGAATAACCACATTTTCTATTTTCTGTGTTTGATGCTTTGACATCCTGGGACCTTGATGGCCCTGGAGGGACTACCCTTCCCACCGCACCGATAGCAAACAAACCGCTGTCTGGGAGTGCCTCTTTCATCTGCAAACCGACAATGCAGGCCCACACCCCAGGCCCTCCTTTGCTGAACTTTCACACTCAAGGCCAGCACCACTTGCCCTAACACCCTGGGGGCCCGGGGCCAGGCAGCCGGGACAGCCCCTGTGGCCCCAGCCTGAGGAAATTATTCACACCAGCTACTCCTAAACCCGCTCACCCTGCCTCACCCGTTCCTTTCTGTGGGAACCACAGTAAACGTTCATCCTCACACTTCCCCTTCATGCCTCTGCTTCCTGACCAACCCTGGGGCTTCCCCGCAGGCCCTGCATGGCGTGGACTGCGCCCTCCTCATGGGATCTGTGAGGAACAAACTGTCTTTCCAGCAGCAGCCACCTCCTGATCTATTGGCCTCACCACACCTGAATAGGAATAAAATCTACATTTAAAAACAGCCCCTGGGCTGGGCACAGTGGCTCACACCTGTAATCTCAGCACTTCGGGAGGCCAAGACAGGAGGACTGCTTGAGCTCAGGAGTTCGAAACCAGCTGGGTCAATACAGTGAGACCCTGTCTCTCCGTTTAAAGAAATATATAAATAGGCCGGGCGCGGTGGCTCAAGCCTGTAATCCCAGCACTTTGGGAGGCAGAGGCAGGCGGATCACGAGGTCAGGAGATCAAGACCATCCTGGCTAACACGGTGAAACCCCACCTCTATTAAAAAATACAAAAAAACTAGCTGGGCGAGGCGGTGGGCGCCTGTAGTCCCAGCTACTCGGGAGGCTGAGGCAGGAGAATGGCGTAAACCCAGGAGGCGGAGCTTGCAGTGAGCTGAGATCTGGCCACTGCACTCCAGCCTGGGCGACAGAGTGAGACTCCGTCTCAAAAAAAAAAAAAAAAAAAAAAACATAAATAAAAAGAATAAGAATAAAAATAGCCCCCTCCTATTCGCTGAGGCTCGACATTGAGGCCATCTGGAATCTGGGCTCACATCATGGGGGGGCCCCTCATCTCCCCACTTTTCCTGATGGACTGGCCCCTCCACTCAGCCAGCTCCTTCTCCAACATCCAAGCCCAGGCCACACTCCCTGTGACCAGCATTCTTTCGACTTCTTCCTTCCTTTTCCATTTCTATTTTTTTTTTTTTTTTTGATGGAGTCTCACTTTGTCACCCAGGCTGGAGTGCTGTGGCGCAACCTTGGCTCACCGCAACCTCCACCTCCTGGGTACAAGCAATTCTCCTGCCTCAGTCTCCCGAGTAGCTGGGATTACAGGTGTGTGCTACCACGCCTGGCTAGTTTTTGTATTTTCAGTAGAGATGGGGTTTCACCATGTTGGCCAGGCTGGTCTCGAACTCCTGACCTCAGGTGATCTGCCCACCTCAGCCTCCCAAAGTGCAGGGATTACAGGCATGAGACACCGCACCCAGCTTATTTTCTATTTCTAATACCATTTCCATTCTACTCCATCCCTAATTGCTGACCCAGTGCCAGCCCTGTACAGCCCCTTGACTCATGTTAGCTGACTCATGTTCTCCCACCATCCCAACAGACAAACTATCACTGCCATTCACGAGGGCCAGATGGGAGCAAAGTGCACCCCCAAAATCGGAGAAATACTGTCAATTTCATGCTCTACGCCTGGTTCCCAGACGCTGTTCCTTCAGGGAGAGGGAAAGTGTATTTTTCTGGCTTGGGTTGCTCCAGGTAGGATGATGGGGAAGCAGGTCCTGGTTATGGTCATTTATCCCCAAGGAGGAGGACTCTGAGGATAAAGGACGAATCCTGCCCCAGAGGAAAACCGAGGATGGGGCCACGGAAATCCAGCAGTAGGAAGGGGCTGAGACTTCAGCCTGGGGACCTCCGTCCTCTTCCCTTAATTTTCCTATAGGCCTCTCCCGCTATTTTCCTTAACTTCTCCCTCCCTGCCCTTCTAAATCTTCTGAGAGTTGATTGGAACTTAAACTAGCTCTGGGGAAAATACAAATATACAAATAATAGATAACTTTATTAAAAATGTTTACCATCACTGGCAACTCAAGAAACAGGAATCAAAATAATCAGAAGATAACTTGAAAATGGTCTAGGGAAAGGAATGCCATGATCATCTCACCCTTTTCTTTCTTTCTTTTTTTTTTTTTTTTTTTTTTGAGACGGAGTCTCACTCTGTTGCCCAGGCTGGAGTGCAGTGGCACAATTTCAGCTCACTGCCAGCTCCGCCTCCCGGGTTTACGCCATTCTCCTGCCTCAGCTTCCTGAGTAGCTGGGCCTACAGGTGCCCGCCACCTCACCTGGTTCATTTTTTGTATTTTCAGTAGAGACGGGGTTTCACCGTGTTAGCCAGGATGGTGTTGATCTCCTGACCTCGTGATCCACCCACCTCGGCCTCCCAAAGTGCTGGGATTACAGGTGTGAGCCACCGTGCCCGGCCCATCTGACCCCTTTTCATACAACATATATATCAAAGCATGAGTAGCTCAGATTTTAAATACTGAACTCTGAAATAATGATATTGCACCAACAAAAAGTGGTATCTGCATTTGAATACCATGTATTGCAGTCACCATAATGATTTCTACAAAGGAAGAAACTTGGATCTGAAGGTTTGTTGTTGTTGTTATTTTTAAGACAGAGTCTTGCTCTTGTCACCCAGGCTGGAGTGCAGTGGCGCCATCTCAGCTCACTGCAATCTCCACCTGCCGAGTTCAAGTGATTTTCCTGCCTCGGCCTCCCAAGTAGCTGACATTACAGGTGCCTACGACAATGCCTGGCTAATTTTTGTATAGAGATGGGGTTTCACCATGTTGACCAGACTGGTCTAGAACTCCTGACCTCAAGTGATCCACCCACCTCAGTCTCCCAAAGTGCTGGGATTACAAGTGTGTGCCACCACACCCAGATACTTTTTTTTTTTGTATTTTTAGTAGAGACTGGGTTTCACCAGGTTGGCCAGGCTGGTCTCAAACTCCCTGACCTCAAGTGATCCGCTCGCCTTGGCCTTCCAAAGTGCTGGGATTACAGATGTGAGCCGCTGCGCCTGGCCAGATCTGAAGGAATTTTGAGTTTTCTGGTCAAAGTCATGCAGGTAATTAGTATGTGTGCATCCTAAAGTCCATGTCCCTTAAGTGACCCCGGGACCAGGGCCACCGGCACTCAGTTGACTCTGTGGGGCTCCTGTCTGCCGGGGGGCACCTGCCCAGAGACCCTCCTGCAGGAAAGACGCCTCCTGCTCACTCACCGAGGTAAGGGTCATCACTATGTTGACCACGCCAGAGCCCACTGTTACATACTGGGAGTAGGCGGCCTCCACGCCCGCAGATGCATAGATGGTGTCCGCATAGTAGTTGATCTAAGCAAAAACACAGGGCTGTCAGGAGAGGCCTGAAGACCCAGGACATTGGCTTAACTTTCTCAACCCAAGCCACACACAGTTCTGCAAGCCTGGGTTGGGGACCCTGGGACAGGAAGGAGGCAGCAGGTGGCGGGAAAAAGAGGCCTGACCTGGAGTCAGGACACCAGGGTGGAGCCCAGCGCTGCCCCGGCATCCGGGGTCACAGCTCCTCCCTCTCTGAGCCTCAGGTTCCGCATCTATAAAACGGGAGTCGGACCACACGACCTCCAAGAGCACTTGTCCCTCCATCGTCCAGTTACTCTAAGAGCTCACATCCCAAAGCATGACTTCTTACCTCTCACTCTGGGCCAAGCCAACTGTAAGTTCCGTCTGTCTTCTGGCTCAGTGCCAAGGACACTGGCACACACAGCCCTTTGAAAAGCCACGTGTGCCATTCCACATCTGGTGGCTCCCACCTGGGCCGTCTACCCTCCCATGATCACGGGTTAAACATCCATGAATCCCTGGGGCCAAGGCCACCTCTTCCTGACATGCCACTGGAGTAACTGGGTCACCCACCCAATCTCCAGTGGTTTAGCTTCTGCCAGATCTCCACCCTTCCCCCACACTATGGTTAGATACAGTTATGGCCAAAGAGCCACAGTCGCAGAAAGCGATGCCACAAACATCACAGCCAAGCGGGCCCAAGGTGGGCTCCTGACCCAGGCTGGGCCTACCAACCCTGGCCTGGTGACCTGAGCTTGGACCCAGGAGACCTCAGCTCATCTCAGTCTAGTTGGTCTCTCGTATATAGGGGAAAGGACTATTGGCAGGAGGCATTCCTTCTGGGGAAACAGAGAAAAATGAAGGTGGCATGTGGGGAGAGGCAGAGCACGGAGGCAGAGAGGACTGAGTTTTCTTCCTGACATCTGGCCCTGCCTGGGCTGATCCTGGCCCTGCTGCCAGGCCAGGCCTCTGTGGGTGGAACTGTGTTGCTATCCAGGAAGCCTGGGTCTGCTTCATCTGTCTCCCCGCCTGGCCACCGTCCCACGTACCGCGTTGATGCCCGACAGCTGCTGGCCGGCCATGAGCACGATGATGGAGAGGAGCTGCCAGCGCAGGGACTGCAGGGCACAGAGACGCAGCACAGACAGGTGGCCCTCAGCGCGCTCAGCCTGGGCCTCCGCACGCATGTCCTCCACCTCAGCCTCCAGGTCCATGTGGCCTCTCAGTCTCCTCAGGGCTGCAGAGAGCAGAACCACCCCGTCAGAGGGCCGTCTCCCTGCAGACTGGGCCCCAGGCCCCGATGCTGGCCCTGAGCTCACCATTCCCTGACCTGACCTTGGCCGTGCCCCCCATTGCCACCCCCATACCCTGTTCAGCTCCCAGCTCTCACCCCTGACCCATGGCGACCCTGCCTCTGGCCCTGACTGTGGCTCTGCCTGGCCCCTGGGGTGGGCAGGGCCTGGGAGAGCGGCCTGCAACTTCATACCTTGTCGTGCTGCGGCTTCATCTCCTTTCTGAATCAAGGAGTAGCGAGGGCTCTCGGGGAAGAAGGGCAGGGTCAGCAGCTGCAGCAGGGCGGGCACCCCTGTGAGTGCCAGAAGCACCGGCCAGCCTGCAAGGAGCCAAGGACTCAGGATCCCGGGGCCTGGGCACCCACTGGCCCACCCACCACTGTGCTTGGAAAGTCACGCTCTTATGTGTGAACCAAGGACTGTGGGGACTTCGTTCCCACCAGGGTCCTCCTACAAACGGGTTCCACATTCAAAACAGAGGAAATCATTATCGTTATAAAAATTTATGTGTCATTAATTATTTTGCAGGAAGAACACCGTTTCTCTAAAGAATAGGCAGTGATTTAAACGCTTGAATCCCGGAGAAAATGAGCTCAGTCTTGTTCCTACTTTTATAGCTGGAAAGGGGATAATCTCTGCCTCATTAGGGCCATGGTAGGGCAGGGCCATGGTAGGGCAGGGCCTGGACCCTGCGCTGGGTCTGAGTGAGCTCCTTCTGGATGGCTTGGGCTAAGGAGGGGAACTGAGATTCCACTAAGAGAACAGGGTCTCCATCCGCCTCCCACCTGCTGGTATGGTGGGAAGTGGACAAGTTCTTTTTTTTTTTTTTTTTTAGACAGGGTCTAGCTCTATCAGCCAAGCTAGAGTGCAATGCTGCGATCATAGCCCACTGCAGCCTCAATCTCCCAGGCTCATGCGATCCTCTCACCACAGCCTCCTGAGTGGCTGGAACTACAAGCATGCATTACTGCACCTGGCTGGGTTTTTTGTTTGTTTTTTTTTTTAATTTTTAGTAGAGACAGGGTCTTGCTATGTTGCCCAGGCTGGTTGTGAACTCTTGGGCTCAAATGATCCTCCTGCCTTGGCCTCTCAAAATGCTGGGCATGAGCCACTGCACCCAGATGACAAGTTCTTTAACATCTCTGAGCCTCAGGCAAGAAGTGGCGAGGGATAAATGAGACACAGGCACTAAGCGTCGTGCACCATGCCTTCCCCAGCTGTTGTCTCTCTAATTGACAGTTTCATATTCAGTCGCTCTGGGCGGTTTAGGAATCATTTCTGCTAATGATCTTTCATGGAGCACCCACCAGGTTCTGAGTCTCTGAACCTTTTCAGGGTACGTGGGGATCACAAAGACATAAATCCGCCCATTAAGGAATATGTGCAGAATTTGGGTCACTCAGAAATGTGTATAAAAAACCCCGGCCAGGCACAGTGGCTCACGCCTGTAATCCCTTCACTTTGGGAGGCTGAGGCAGGAGGATTACTTGAGCCCAGGAGTTAGAGACCAGCCTGGACAACATAGTGAGACCCTTGTCTCTACAACAAAAATAGAAAAAAAGAGCTGGGCATGGTGGTGCGTGCCTGTAGTCCCAGCAACTTGGGAAGCTGAGGCGGGAGGATCGCTTGAGCCTGGGAAGTCAAGGCTGCAGTGAGCTATGACTGCACCACTGCAGTCCAGCCCAGGTGATAGTGAGACCAAGAAGGAAGGAAGGAAGAAAGGAGGGAGGGAGGGAAGGAGGGAAGGAGGGAAGGAAGGAAAGAAGGAAAGAAGGAAGGAAGGAAGGAAGAAGGAAGGAAGGAAGAAAGAGAGAGAGAGGAAGAAAGGAAGGAAGAAAGGAAGGAAGGAAGAAAGAAAGAAAGAAAGAGAGAGAAACAGAGAAAGAAAGAGAAAGAAAGAAAGAAAGGAGAAACCCCACTGGGTTCATGGGGCTTTTAGTGCTGGCTGCATTCATTCAGGCCTGCTTGGTGGTCCATCCTCTTATCCTCTTTCTCTCCACCCTCCATGAGTGTCTCTCACTTTCTCCTGGTGGGGTTCTAAAAACAATACCCCAAAATGAAGGCCTCAGCTGCACCCTCAGAAGGAAAATTTTTCTCTGACTTTCTCCTGTCCCCCTGTCTCAGTCCCATTTCCCCTGAGGCTAACCCTAGAAACCAGCATCCCTAGTCAGGATTCCTGGACAGGTCATACAAACCAGATTCCCTTTCCTCAAAACCAGTTCCATAAAACCTAAAAATATTCTATGTAAAAACTGGCCATATGGGTGGATCACCTGAGGTCAAGAGTTCGAGACCATCCTGGCCAACATGGAGAAACCCCATCTTTACTAAAAATACAAAATTAGCCAGGCGTGGTGGCTCATGCTTGTCATCCCAGCTACTCAGGAGGCTGAGGCAGGAGAATTGCTTGAACCCGGGAGGCAGAAGTTGCAGTGAGCTGAGATCGCACCACTGCATTCCAGCCTGGGCGACAGAGCGAGCCTCTGTCTCAAAACAACAACAACAAGAACAACAAGAACAACAACAACAACAACAAGAACTGGCCGGAAGGAAGATCTCTGACCAATGCTGTTGGCTGTAGGTCATAAGAGGCCCCCGTTCTGCAGAGGGTCCGGCCCCACACCCAGAAGGAAGGCAGGCTGCACAGAGACCAAGAAGAACCTACACAGACTGGCCCCGAGGGGTCTCCCCACTCGTCCATTCACGTCGGATCAGACCCTTTTTGTCCAATTCTATTTCTACTTGGCTGTCCATACTGTGTTGAGCCTGGACTAAAACAGACAATTTCCCCTCCGTCTCTGGATCTTCACTCTGAAGGCTCCGCGAATCTGGTTAAATACGTTTGCATGCCTTTTCTATTAATCAATCCGCTTCGTGTCAGTGATTTTTCAGCAGACCTTTAGACGGCCACGTACCTCTCTCCTAAATCTCCACCACGACCCCCACTCGCTTTCAGGCATCGGCCTTGCCTCCTAATTCACTGGGAAGATAGAGGGTGCCAGAAGAAAACAGCCACCCAGAGACAGGGATGGCGGCTGCGAACCTGCTTGCCCCCCATTGACGTCCCTCTGTACCGGGCCATTCCTATGGCAGCCGAATTACGCTGACATTTTTCGCGGCTTGAAAGAAACCTGTTCTCTCGACCTCGCTTCCCCAACTTCTCTCCTTCCCTTTATAGCAAAACCTCTACCTGCCTGGAAGCCCCTGATTCCCATTCCCAAGCACCATTCGTCCCTATCACTCACCAAAACAGCCCCGAACAAGATCACCCATCCCGTTGCCCACCACACTACCCAACGCCTGACCCTAAAGTCACCTCTCAGGCCTCATCTGACTCAATCCGTCAGTAACACCCGGCACAGCTGAACGAGGGACTGGACCTAGCGTGACCTCTGCGGCTGCCGGTTACCTTCCGGGTTGCCCAGGATGACCTGGAGGCTGAAGATCTGTGCTAGGAAGACTCCAATGATGACGAAAACCTCGGTCATTGTTCCCAACAGGCCTCTCAGGTTCTTGGGGGCCAGTTCTCCCAGGTACATGGGAAGGGCGCTGTAGGAGATGCCTGGTTTGGGCACAGCAGAAATCAGGGCAGGCAAACCGCAAACACGGGAACCTGAGATGCAATTCAATTCCATTTCCTAATCCCAGGGCTTCTCCGTGCTGTCAGCCTCTCCGTGGAGATGGAGCTAGGCCAACCTTGACTGTTTAGTTTGGTCTTATACCAAAATCCCTCCAGAATCCTCAGCCCCCATGGAGGCATCACCAGGATGTGATGAGGAGACCTTCTCCTTTCTAGCCGCCGGGCTGGGCCGCTTGTTACAGGGGAGGAGCCTAGGCCTCTGTGTGTCCCTGGCACTTAACGATCAAACTTCTGCTTTGGTCTATTTTCTGATTTTTCTAAAGCACAGACTGCTTGTCTAACTTTTATTAATAGAAGAAATTACTGTAGTTAAGAAACTACTGAGTTTAAATTGTCCATCTTGCTTGGAAGATACCTTGTAAAAAAACCTTATTGGTTATTTGTACTTCAAGGTGAAAGTGTGTTTCTAAAGATCCTTAAATAAAGGGAAGGGGCCAGTAAGCATGAGGCTTGTCCAGGTACAGTGTCTCATACCTGTAATCCCAGGACTTTGGGAGGCCGAGGCAGGAGGATCACTTGAGCCCAGGAGTTTGAGATCAGCCTGGGCAACGTAGTGAGGCTCTGTCTCTAAAAAAAAAAATTATTTAATTAATTAACAAAAGCAAGCACGAGGCTTGCAAGGTCCTGGGAATGCAGATGGGAGGATGTCTTGAAATGAAAAGAGGCAGACAGAGCCAGCCAGACACCTCGTCTGCTCCTGCTTCCAGCCTTGGCCAAAGAGACCCTTCCCCCAAGGCTGAGCCAGAGCCTGGGCCCCGGGTACCTGCACAGACTCCCAGCACCACTCGGGAAAAGATGATCAGCTCAAAAGCCTTGGCCACTTTGCTGACTCCCATCAGGATGGCGGGGACGATGGCAAAGATGTTGTTGATCAGCAGGGTCCCCTTTCTGCAAAGACAGCGAGCCCAGAGGGCAGGGGTGCGTGGACGCCGTGGAAGCTCTCCCAACACCAGCTCCTATTCCACAGGCGGTCATTACAGAGGTACGGGAATGTGCCCGAGAAAGAGCTGAAGCAGGGGGCTGTAGACTGAAGAGTGTCCCCCAAATTCCTATGTTGAAGGCCTTAACCCCAGTGTGATGGGATCAGGAAGAGGGGCCTCTGGGAGGTGAACGGGTCATGTGGGGCCCTCACCATGGTATAGGAAGAGACATATAAGAAACCACTCTCTTTTTCTGCCCTGTGAAGACACAGCCAGGCTGGGCGTGGTGGATCAAGCCTGTAATCCCAGCACTTTGGAGGCTGAGGCGAGCGAATCACTTGAGGCTAAGAGTTCGAGACCAGCCTGGCCAACATGGTGAAACCCCATTTCTACTAAAAAAACAAAAGTCAGCCAGGCATGGTGGCACATGCCTGTAATCCCAGTTACTTGGGAGGCTGAGGCAGGAGAATCACTTGAATCCAGGAGGCAGAGGTTGCAGCGAGCCGAGATCGTGCCACTGCACTCCATCCAGAGCCACAGAGCAAGACTCCATCTCAAAAAAGAAAAAGAAAAAAGACACAGGGAGAAGAAAGCTGTCTGCAAGCCAGGAAGAATGCCCTCCCCAGGAAACAGATCTGCTGGTACCTTGATCTTGAATTTCTATCCTGCAGAACTGTGAGAAGATAAAAGTCTGTTTACGTCTGTGGTTGTAGCAGCCGGAGCGGATTAAGACAGATTGGGAAGAAAGGGCGAATGGGCAGACGTCCCAGGAAGGAAGACTTGGGGTCAGCGGGGGTGGGAGTTGGGGAGGGGAGCATTCTAACGATTGGAGCTGCCTGAAAAGGGGAGGGCAAGAACAAAGAATGGGGCTGCCCCGGGAGGTAGAGAGCTTCCCGTCATTGGTGGTATTCAAGCTGTCGCTGGTGGTCTCTAGACTAGACACGATGACTGTCAGGAATGTTGAACAGGGAATTCCTACAACGAGTGGGGTGCAGAATGGGACTACGTGATTTCTAAGATCCCCTCCAAGGCTGAAAACCCACAAGCCTGAGAAGGGCAGGGAGTGCCTGAAAAACAGCACTACGCTGGGTGCGTCCTGCTGCCTCCAGATCCACTCATCTGCTTGACTCCATGCTCTAGGTCCTATGCCAACCTGCAGCAATGGCTCCCGTGCCCCCCTCCCTTGCCTTTGGCTTGGGTTTTGCACAGGAGAAGAATGGCAGTGGACCAGAAAGAGGGCAGAGAGCTCCTGAGCTGTGGGGTTGCTGGCTGGTGCATCCTGATATTCTTTTTTTGTTTGTTTGTTTTTGAGATGGTGTCTTGCTCTGTTGCCCAGGCTAGAGTGCAGTGGTGGGATGTCGGCTCACATGATATGGTTTGGCTGTGTCCTCACCCAAATCTCATCTTAAATTCCCACGTGTTGTGGGAGGGACCCGGTGGCAGGTCTTCCCAGTGCTGATCTTGTGGTAGTGAGTAAGTCTCACCAGGTCTGATGGTTTTATAAGGAAGAGTGTTTCTGCACAAGCTCTCTCTTTGCCTGCTGCCATTCATGGAAGATGTGGCTTTGCTCCTCCTCTGCCTTCCACCACGACTATGCCTTCCGCCATGACTATGCCTTCCGCCATGACTCCTCCTCTGACTTCCACCTCCCCAGCGACGTGGAACCGTGAGTCCATTAAACCTCTTTCTTTTGTAAATTGCCCAGTCTTGGGTATGTCTTTATCAGCAGAGTGAAAATGGACTAATACACTCTGCCTCCTGGGTTCAAGCAATTCTCCTGCCTCAGCCTCCCAAGTAGCTGGGATTACTGGCACGTACCACCATGCCCAGCTAATTTTTGTATTTTTTAGTAGAGACGGAGTTTCATCACATTGGCCTGGCTGGTCTCGAACTCTTAGCCTCGAGTGATTTGCTCACCTCAGCCTCCCAAAGTGCTGGAATTACAGGTGCAAGCCCCCGTGCCCAGCCTGGTATTCATTTTTTATTTCCTCTCTCCACCTCCAGGGGAAGGTGCTCCCTCCTTGCACCCCGACAGGTCTGGGGGTGATGAAGCTGTCAGCAACCCCAGGACTACCTTTGTGATTGTGTCACACTTTGCACACATCTTTGAGGGCCGCTGGGACCCTGAGTGAGTGTGCTGAGTGAGCCAGCCAGGAAGGTGGGGTTCTGGTGCCAAGAGGAGGGAGCGGGTGGTGAGGACTCTATGAAAATATTCCAGGTTGGCAACACTGAAGACTGGCCAGGGCGTCCACAGATAAGCAGGCTGCTGTTCTCAGGCCACTTTTCTCTCCCTGGGGCTGCCACAGCCTTCAGGAGCAGCCACCAGAGCCCAGGCCCTGATGGGGGAGAGTCAGCCAGCCAGGAGGCCCAAAAAGACTAAGCAGCCCAGACACGTTCCCACCCTTCTCCGGACTCCCAGCCCTTCCTGGTGACTAGGAGGGGAGGCTGGGGCTGTCAGGACCCCACTGGGCAAGGCTGGCACCACCACATTCCTGGGCTCAGGCTCCTCATCTGGAAAATGGGTTCAGACAAAGAAGTGGAGGCCAAGCCTGGGCTTCCAGAACAGTCCAATCACCCTCGGTCTAGATGAGGACATCACAGTCTGGATGACCAAAAAAAAAAGCTTGAATTATGGTATAATTACATTAGAGTCAACAGTTTCTTCATTCCAGTGCATAATGTATAGCAAATTAATTGTCAATCAAGTATTCGCAAGAAGAGATCCTGTGAGTCTTGCATTAATTAATAGATAATTAATTTTCAATCAGCACTATTTTTTTTCTATGCCCAAAAATGAAATTGCTCTGGTTTTTTGAGTGACTTTTTCACTGGAGGGCCTTCCAGTCACTCCTGCAAACTGCCTAACCTGGCACACCACGCCCAGGTGTAACCGTGAATCCGAATGAGTGGGCTGAACTAAGAGAACGCCCCAGGCCTCGCCCTGAGCCCAGGCTCACGCTTTGCCCTCCTGGGAGCCTTGGCCTGTGCATCTTTCCTTATCTGTGGAGTCACGTCTTTGGAGCACCTGGGCTTAGGAAGAACGATTAGTGAATCCGTGTGAGCCAAGCAAAGTTCAAAGACCTGCCCAGTCTTTATTTTCAAACAATCTCATATCTATGAGACTGTGGCCGGCAGAGTGACTCAGCCTGACCCCAGCCTCAGTAACAAACTCTGACAAAGACACGTGGAGAGAGACTGCAGCTCTCAGAACTTGGAGCCATGGCCACCTGACCCCCAAAGGACACCCGATAAACAAGCATTTAGTGAACACCCACTGGAAGTGCTTACAAGGCACTAAGCTGAGCACCGTCAGGAACCTTGATCTCCAAGGCTGCACCACCTCTGTGGTAGGTGACGGAAGGGAATGCTTTTCCCATGCAACGGCCTAGGAAAGAAATCCCAGAGACATTTAGGGACTGGCTTTAAGGTCATGATGACTGTGGCCAAGCAGAGACCAGACTTCAGATCTCCTGATTTTCAGGGTCACACATCTCCCCACCAGGTGCACAAATGCCCAGAGACAGTGTGGCTTACTAGCGTGAATTGTAAGTGGGAGCAGTGAACCTTCTGTTTACCTGCCACAGCTGTCAACCAGCAGGCCCACGACCAATGACCCCAACAAGCCGCCCAGAGGAAACATGGAGACGGTGCAAGACCATAGAAGCAGCATGAGCTTCCCGTCCATGAATGTTGCATGTCGCTCAAAGTAGGTTTCATTGTAAAATGACTTGAAGACCTGCAAAATATTGCCCCATCCACAGCTAAGAATATTGGGCAATTCATGAGAACGAGAAAGTGTTCTCAGTGGCCACCTGTCATTGTACAGAGAGGTTTTTCTGCTAACAACTGTAAGACACAGTTAAACCCGCTGATTCCCTACTATTACCTGAGAATCAAAAAAGCTACTGTATGGTGGATTGAGATGAGAAACTAGGCTAAACAAAAAGATTGTTACAAATTCACTGATAAAAAAATTTACTTTTGGCCGGATGCGGTGGCTCACGCCTGTAATCCCAGCACTTTGGAAGGCCAAGGTGGGCGAATCATGAAGTCAGAAGATCGAGACCACCCTGGCAAACACGGTGAAACCCCGTTTCTACTAAAAATACAAAAAATTAGCAGGGCATGGTAGCGGGCGCCTGCAGTCCCAGCTCCTTAGGATGCTGAGGTAGGAGAATGGCGTGAACCTGGGAAGCGGAGCTTGCAGTGAGCCGAGATTGCAGCACTGCACTCCAGCCTGGGCGACAGAGCGAGACTCTGTCTCAAAAAAAAAAAAAAGAAAAAAATTTACTTTTGGCTGGGAATGGTGCCTCACATCTGTAATCCTAGCACTTTGGGAAGCCAAGGCGGGAGGATTGCTTGAGGCCAAGAGTTCAAGATCAACCTGGTCAACATAGGGAGACCCTGTCTCTATTAAAAAAATAGAAAAAAAAAAAAAAGAAAAAAATTTAAATTTACTTTTGAGAGACTTACTCTGCCAGAGGCACCATAGGAAATATTCTTCTTCTTTTCTTTCTTTTTTTTTGAGATGGAGTCTCGCTCTGTCACCCAGGCTAGAGAGAATGGCGTGATCTTGGCTCACTGCAACCTCTGCCTCCTGGGTTCAAGTGATTCTCCTGTCTCAGCCTACTGAGTAGCTGGAATTACAGACACCCGCCATCATACCCAGCTATTTTTTGTATTTTTAGTAGAGATGAGGTTTCACCATGTTGGCCAGGCTGGTCTTGAACTCCAGATTTCAGGTGATGAGGTGATCTACCCGCCTTGGCCTCCCAAAGTGCTGGGATTACAGATGTAAGCCACCACGCCCAGTCCAGGAAATATTTTTACTAATTGTGTGACTTCAGGCAAGTTATAGAACCTCCAGAAACCTTAATTTCCTCATCAGTTATGGAAATAAGATGTACCTTATACGGAATGTGTTAGCATCAAATGTGATTAAGTCGATGGTACATTGCTTGACTTAGAGGTTCCATCCATGGTAAAAATTGTAAGTACACTAATATATGTATCTATATGTAATACACACATAAATATAATACAGTGTATGTAGACATGCTAATATATGTATGCAAGCTTAAGCATATACACATACCAAGGTTAAGCCTGTGGTCAGTTCTCAGTCCCCATCTGAACTCATCAGCACAGGCTGTCCCTCCCTCCTTAACTCTCATCCTTTACTAGACTTTGGGGACACTCTGCCCTCAGGTTCTTCCACACCTGACAAGGGCCCCTTCTCTTTTTCCTTTTTTCCCCTTTGCCCCAATCCTTAAGTGCCACTGAGTTCAACCTTTGACCCCATTCTCTTTCCAATCAACAAGGGGCCTACCCAAGGTGAGGGCAGTGGGACCTGAGGCCCAAAAAGACTGGGCTGGGAATCCAGGTCCCCCAGCATCCCAATGTGCCTGGAAAGGACTACACTCCAGGGGGAAACACCTCCTGCCACACCCTGGTCTCCAGGGGTGGGCATCCAGGGTACTAGGACAAGATGGCTGCTCCCAAAGGCAAGATGGCACCTCCTAGAGGCAATATGGCGGCCTCCACAGAGGAATATGGTCGCTAGCTTCCACCCACAACCACAGTCAGTTGCTGTCCGGTCCACCTTGTGCCCACCTTGTGCGGAGTGTTGACCACAGAGAGGTTGTAGCCGTACTGGAAGGCTGAGCCAAAGGCGGCGCTCAGTGTCGCCAGCAACAGCGTGGGCTGGAGCCGCTGTGGGAGACAAGTCCAAGGTCGGAACGCTGTGGGCTTGGGCCTCAGGAAGTGGAGTGGCTGGGCCTCCACCTCCCTCCAGCCTGGGCTGGAAGTGGGGGACGGGAGAGCCCAGGCTGTGCCCCAGAAAAGAGGAGGAGGTGGCACAGAGCTGGGGCTTTTCAGGGCTGAGAGGCATGAGGTCTCTGCGTGCATTCATTCCCTCCTTGAGGATGTATCTGAGCATCTCCTATGTGCCTGGCCCTGTGCTAGGCCCTGGAGGCCAAGTGTGAAGTAGGAGATGCTTTAGGAAAAAGGCCCAGCAAAGCACTGCCTTTGAGAAGCTCACTTTCTAGTGAGGGGAGCCCACCCTGTCTGAAAAAGACAAAGATGGTAATTCCAAATAGCTAGAATGCTGTGAGGATAATAAAACAGGGTGATGGATGGGGTAGCAGCCTGTGGGAAATCAGGGACTATGTTCAATAGAGTGGGCAGGGCAGGGAACCCTCTCTGAGCAGATGCCCTTTGAGCCGGAACCAGAGTGGATGAGAGGGAGCAGCCGCGTGAGCATGGTGGGGAAGAGCATCCCAGACAGAGAGACTCACTGCTTGCCTCTGGCTCTAGAACAGACCCTTAGGAAAACCCAGGCAATCCCCTGTGATCAGGGCCAGGGCTTTCCATGGTTGCCACAACACCCAGGGCAGCTTGGAGGGGAACTGGCCTGAGGTCCAAAGTCTGAGGAGTAGGTGGGTGGGGTCGGTGACCATATCCTAGAGCCAAGGCCCTGGTGCATGCCCCGCTGCACTGCCCCCTCCACCCCCAACTCCTGTGCCACATGTCCTCACCCAATCCTCACACTTAGCTCCCTGGCTGCCCACAGCCCATAGCTCTGCACACCCAGGAACAACCAGACTGAGAAGGGCAGGATTCGGGCATTCTTCAGAGGCCATCTCCCCTCGATCTTTAAGGGTGGGGGAAGTGGAGGGGAACAGGGGTGGAAGGGAGAGAGGTATCTCCAGCGCCATCCGCTCTCCCAGCAGTCACTAAGCCACTCTGGCCCGTGTCTGAGCCATGAGGTTTGAGCACAGCTGCTTCTCCACCTGGCTCGCCCAGGCCTGGTTATCCTGCAGGAAAGGGAAGCACGCTACCCCCTCCTTGCTAAAAGCATTCCAGGGCCTTCACCTCCCTCCACAGGTCTGCACAGCTGGTGGGAGAGGGACAGTGACAGTTTCCTAGTCTTGGCACTTACCCCCTCCCTGGATGGAATGGGTGGAGGGGTTCCCGCCTCTTTGTTCGCCATCCTTGTTCAGGTGGGAGAACAGGTGTGCTCTACCTCCCAAGTGACACCTGCTCTGCACCAGCCACCTAAAGACCGACGATTTCTCCCCCGGGCCTGCCTGGCTTTACGATCCTTTTGCTCTCTGGACCCTGCTGACTTTCCCCAGGAGCAAATTCTCCTTGGAAGTGTTGATAAGACACACGTTGCCAGTACACAAATCATACACAGCATGAATTTCATCTTTGCACCCACCAAGCCCCAAACCAAAAGCTCCCCAGTTGCAGCAAGGAGAGAGAAAAAGCATTGCCTGACTTTGGTCCATAGAAGTGAGGACTTTCAGAAACCCAGTGAGGCTGTGACCTGGATCTAGAATGCTGCTTCTGGGCATTTTTCCACATATGCCTCTTTTTTTTTGAGACAGAGTCTTGCTGTGTTGCAATCTCGGCTCACTGCAACCTCCGCCTCCTGGGCTCAAGCTATTCTCTTGCCTCAGCCTCACGAGTAGCTAGGATTATAGGCATGTGCCACCACACCCAGCTTTTTTTTTTTTTTTTTTTTGTATTTTTAGTAGAGATGGGGTTTCACCTTATTGGCCAGGCTGGTCTACAACTCCTGACCTCCAGTGATCCGCCTGCCTTGGCCTCCCAAAGTGCTGGGCTTACAGGCATGAGCCAATGTACCTGGATTTTTTTTTGTTTTTACTTTTATTTTAGGTTCAGGGGTACATGTGAATGTTTGTTACATAGGTAAACTTGTGCCATGGAGGTTTGCTGTATAGATTATTTCATCACCCAGGTATTAAGCCCAGTACCCAATAGTTGTCTTTGCTGCTCCTCTCCTTCCTCCCATCCTCCAGCTGGAGGTAGACCCCAGTGTTTGCTGTTTCCTTCTGTGTGTTCCTAGGTTCTTCATATATGCCTCCTCTTGTGCATTTGGACTAATTGTCCATTTGGGGGAAAGAACAAATTAGACACTTTCAGAGAAATGTAGTTATTATTTCGAATTACCCTTAATAGTGTTAAATAAGTCAATAAAATATTGGACAAAGGTGCTCATTTCAGAATCATCTCTACTAGCATTATTTTAAAAAAGTAGAGAATGACCGAATAAATAAGAGTAGCTAACTGACTGGAATGCCAGACTTCTGTTTCAAAGGATAATTATGAAATGTAAGAACATGGAAACATTAACATGTTTTTTAATTAACATGACCTTTAAGAGAAGTGATCAAAGCAGAATACACATAATATACCTGGGGAAGGCCAGGGTGCCGTGGCTCATGCCTGTAATCCCAGCACATTGAGAGGCTGAGGTGGGTGGATTGCTTGAGCTCAGGAGCTCAAGACCAGCCACGGCAACATGATGAAACCTCATCTCTACCAAAAATACAAAAATCAGCTGGGCGTGGTGGCATACTCCTGTGGTCCCAGCTACTTGGGAGGCTGAGGTAGGAGGATCACTGGGGCACAGGAGGTTGAGGCTGCAGCCGGGGTGACAGAGCAAGAACCTGTTTCAAAAAAAAAAAAAAAACAACAGGATACCTGGGGGAAAATGTGTTTGCCCATGGATGGTAACAGGTGGGGTACATGACAAGACTGAGAGAATGAGAGGTCTTTATTTGTCTTTATCCTGCTCCTGACTATATTGTAGGTATTCTCTCTGTCTCTATCTCTCTCTTTTTTTTTTTTTTTTTGAGATAAAGTCTTGCTCTGTTGCCCAGGCTGGAGTACAGCGGCATGATCTTGGCTCACTGTAGCCTCCGGCCTCCAGTGTTCAAGCGATTCTCATGTCTTGGCCTCCCAAGTAGCTGGGATTACAGGCGTGTGCCACCATGCCCAGCTAATTTTTGCATTTTGTTTGTTTGTTTGTTTTTGTTTTTTAGACAGAGTATCACTCTATCACCCAGGCTGGACTGCAGTGGCCAGGAAGAGGAGGTGGCACAGGGCTGGGGGCTCTTATGGCTGAGAGGCATGTGGTCTCATATGCCTTGTCTCACTGCAACCTCCGCCCCCTGGGTTAAAGTGTTCTCCTGCCTCAGCCTCCCGAGTAGCTGGGACTACAGGCATGTGCCACTATGCCCAGCTAACTTTTGTATTTTTAGTAGAGAGGGGATTTCATAATGTTGGCCGAGTTGGTCTTAAACTCCTGACCTCAGGTGATCTACCCACCTCGGCTTCCCAAAGTGCTGGGATTACAGGTGTGAGCCACCTTGCCCAGCCATGTATTTTTAATAGAGATAGAGTTTCACCATGTTGGCCAGGCTGGTCCTGAACTGCTGGCCTCAAGTGATCTGTCCACCTCAGCCTCCCAAAGTGCTGGTGTTAGAGGTGAGAGCCACTGTGCCTGGCCTATTGTAGGTATTCTCTAAAGGGAGAGGCATTTTCTCCACTCTGCTCCTCCCTCCCTTCTGAGTCCTCACCAGCAGGGTCATTAACATTCATATTTTTACTAATAGCCTGTTCAAGGTAATGTAAGCTTTTTATAGCATGCTTCTAAAAATTCTCCCAGCCTCTTCTCGTTGTGCAATGCTAAAGCCATTTACATACTTTTAAGTATTTAGGTGTTAACAGCAGCACTCTACTTCCCAATACCAAGATCTCTATATTAGTTTTCTATGGCTGCTATAACAAATTGCCAAAAAATGCAGTGGTTCAAAACAATACAAATTTATTATCTTAGGGGTCTATGTATCATAAATCTGACATGGGTCTCACTGGGCTAAAATAAAGGAATCTGCCGTGTTATGACATAGCAGGAAGGTCCTCACCAGATGCAACTCCTCAATCCCGGACTTCCCAGCCTCCAGAATCGTGAGCCAAATACACTTCTGTTGCTTGTAAATTCCCTAGTCTGTGGTATTCTGTTATAGCAACATAAAATGAACTAAGACATCTGGCAAGAGCAGGGACCCCAGCCAAATTTTCAGAGATGGCTCTGGTGACCCACTTTGAGTTCAAGGGTGCAAAAAGGGAAAAGGCATGGTGTTTATCTTCCTGGTTACACTGTAAATTCCTGAAGACAGAAGATGCCATATATGTATCACTTGCATGTCCCAGTGCTGTGCAGAATGTAGGATGACAAGAGCAGCCCCTTAAAAAGCACTGTTAGGGTTAGGTGTGGTGGCTCATGCCGGTAATCCTAACACTTTGGGAGTCTGAGACTGGTGGATCACTTGAGTTCAGGAGCTCAAGACCAGCCTGTGCAACATGACAAAACCCTGCCTCTACAAAAAATACAAAAATTAGCTGGGTATGGTGGCACATGTCTGTAGTCCCAACTACTAGGGAAGCTGAGGTGGGAGGATTGCTAGAAACTGGGCGCCGTGGAGGTTGCAGTGAGCTGAGATGGTGCCATTGCACTCTAGACTGGGTGACAGAGTGAGACCCTGTCTAAAAAAAAAAAATGGAAACACATAAGAAAGGGGGAAAAAAGCACCCAATTCACTGCAGAGTAGTAGGAGGGGAAAAGGAAAGGTTCAGATGAGAGTGTCAGGATCCCAATTACCTGCTTTCTCATTCTTCCTGCAGGAACTAAAAAACAGCCCTTGAGAAAGCAGATTGAAGGGGACAAGACTCAGTCTAACTAACATTCCAGATTGGAACTTCAGCTCTCCTTTCTGAGAGCCCTTCTGTAATGGAAATGGCTAGTGTACCACGCACTGCCCTGCCCTTGTTTCTGATATTTCTGTCCTAGTGGTTAAGCCACTGAGCAATACCAAGACACAGGGCAATGGAGTGAGATTTTCACAAAGAAAAATCTATTCAATTTAAAAGACTGAAATTTTTTCCATGATTACGTCCTGTCTAGATAGTAAAATGCCCTTTCTTTTAAAACATGGTTTCCTCATTTTGGTTGTTGATGGGAGTTCATTTTTTAAAAAAATTATATATATATATATAATATATATATATATATGCAAATTAGAGACAGTGTCTCACTTTGTTGCTCAGGCTGGTCTCAAATTCCTGGGCTTAAGCAATCCTGCTGGGATTATAGGCATGAGCCACTGCACCTGGCCTTTTTAAAAAATGTTTTTATTTGCAAAATAGAGGCAGTCCAATGTTAGTCTACCAAATTTTGGTATGTGACATCTGGAAGTGTGAAAAACGCTGGTCAAACCTACCTTCCAACTGCCTAATTTGGGTTATGAATATGTCACCTGGGGACTGACAACTCCTCCCCAGATTCACTCTTTCTTGCTCTGTTGTCAACCATTTAAAATCCTCCTCACTAAGACTCATTCATTCAAAAAACCCTGAATGAACCCCTACTCTGTGCCAGTCACTATTCCAGGCATGGTGGACACAGTGGTGGGCAAACAGGTCTGAACCCTCTTCAGCTGAACTGTCTTCACCTCCATCTCTCACCTCCCAAGTGTCCTGACCTTGATCCCATCCTAGGGACTTAGCATTGTTATCTGATCTTTGAAGTGTTGATTTTCTGGCCAGAAACCTCTGTGGCCAGTGGTGCCTTTGCCTGAGTTCTTGTCCTGCATCCAGGAAGAAGGAGGTATGCAGATAAGTGGAGAGTGAACAAGATGAAGAAGAGCTTTATTGAGTATTAGAACAGCTCAGAGGAGACCCACGGTAGGTAGCTCCTCTCTGTAGGCAGATTGTCCCATCAAGTGTTCAGCTGTCAGTAGAGAGAGGCCCTGGAGGGGGTAGCTCCTCTCTGCAGTTGGTCATCCTGTCGTCTCTCCATCCTCTGCCCTGTTCTGGCTGAGCCCGGGGCTTTTATGGACCTCAGAGGGGAGGAAGTACATGCCGATTGGTCCATGGGGGGCCATAGATGGGCCCAGAAAAGGCATCACAAATCTGCAGTCCAGTCCACAGGACTGGCAGCCCAGCCCCCAGCCTTTAGGCCCTCCCTGGCCTGAAGGTGGGGTCTTACAGGGACCCATCCACTTCCACTCAGGAACCTGTCTGCCTCCCACAGCCATCTGTGGTGCCTATGTTGCTTGCAGTAAGGGGCACCTGTAGGCCAGCACGGAGCCACCCTCAGTCCCCCTTAAGCTTCCCCTC